ATTTAGTACCACCTTTTTCAAGAATTTAGTACCATCCAACCAATTTTTCCAAAAATTATTAAATTCCTCATATCCCGCATTCATATTTTTAGCATTCATTATCATATTATTTGCTAAAATATAAAATTTTAGAAAATTTTGTAAAGATGGTCGACTATTTTGAGAAAATTTGCAATATTCTAAGGATCTTATGACTTTAAAGCTGTTCACTATATGATCATTTGTATGTCATAAAGTCCCCGACGTAAGACAGCTTTAAAGTCTTAAGGTCTGTCATAAAGTCCCCGAAAATTTCTCTCTCTCCGTATCCGTCGAATTTTTTTTCACTCAGATGAAATTATCCGAAAATTTCGTTCATATATCGGATTAAGGTATTCAGAGATTTTTCACTAAGTTATCCCAGGGAGATATCCAAAGATTCCCCCATAGTTTCGTTTTTTCAACAATTTTAAAAATGCAAAGCCTTGGTACACACTAATGGTATAATCAGTTATCCAAATTATCAATGTAATAGATACAAAAAATATCATTTCAAACCTTCATTAAGCTCTCTTTGAATAATTTGTTTAGTCGAATAATTTACATTAAAAGCGCAATTTTGTTCTGGATACCCAGGCATTAAAACTACCATTAAGAGATTGAAATGCCTTTGTAAATAAATCTTTTCCTCTTCGGATCTCGCAATATATTTCAACAAAAAATCATTTTTAGCCTTAATTTCGTCTTCAACTGACCAACTAATTGAATTTTGGGTTAATTCACCTAGTTTAACTTGATAATCCCAATCCCTAAAATTAATCTTAAATTGAGTTAAAATTAATTTAAAAACCACTCGCTATATGTGTTAAAAAATTTTTCTAATAGATAAATTATGGATGAGTCAAAATAAAGCAACACAAGTTTAATAACAAGTACATTCAGAGTTGCTCCATTGAAGAAACCAAATTGGCCATTATATATGAAATGATCTAAATATTATGTTTTTTTAGTTGGCTCGGAAACCTCGGCGCCAAAATCATAGAGCCCATATTCCGTTTCTACTTGGAGCAAAATTCCTTCGGATCCAGGTACCCAGTTTAGACCCTTTTGGAGCTCAGTTTGGAGTCAGAGCAAAATTGGATGAAATCTTAGATCCCAATTTTCAGTGCCAGGATTTCCGCTCATATTAATCCCACCCAATCAATATCAAAATTCTTATATTAATGAGTTATTTTATTAATGGGTTATCCATATAGTTATTTATGCAGATATAAATTTAATAATAAATCTAATTTTTATTAAATAATTTTCAGAAGTTAGTTTGGTAAATTAGGTAAGTTAACTTAAACATTAAATATTACTTTTCGCCCATCTCTTCACAGTCTTTGTAATAAATTGAAATTTATTCATATTATCATTTACATTAATCATTTGTTGCATAATTTTATTTGAATTATAAGAAGCTAAAGAATAAATTTGGCTTTTTATTTCTTTAATTTTCTCTCTATTTTCTGGTAAACCTTTGTTTAAATTTAATATTTCTAATTTTTGGGCAAATCCTTCAATTATTAATTCCACTTGTTTTTTATTTAAATTAATTATTGGAACTAAATTTTGATCCGGTTTTTGTTCAATTATTACAAATGAAATGTCAAATTGAGTTTTATTTATAGAAAATTCAATTATTCTGTTTTGTGTGTGAATATTCTTGCGAAGGTTGTGAATTTTATAGTTCTAAATTAAGTTTATAAAGCTAAAGAAAAAGAGGTTTAAAAATGAGTATAAAATCGAGAAAGTATAAGAATCGAGAAGAATATCTGTTCGAGATTTCATCTCACCCACAGGAATATCGTGCTAATATTATAAATCGTTTTTTCTTTATATTGTTACTTTGCACAAATAACAATATAAAGAATTATCATTACATTGTACTTTACCAAAAGTATATTTACACAGATCATTATCTGGACTTCCATAAAATTGGATTAATTTATTAATTCCACATCCATCATTCTCTTTTTTGCTTAAAACAACAATCGCATCAGAATCAGAAGTATTTGTTTTTAATAATTGTGATCCGGTCAACAAAAATTCAATATAATAACATTTAGATAAGCTAGCCCATCTTTTAATGGTTGAAACAACATAATTAATATCAGAATGAATATAATTATTAGTAACAATAAATGAAGAATTTATTTGGTTAATAAGCTTTAAAAATAGAAATTAAAAAAATTTTATAGAGAAAACAATCTTTCGGAATTGCCCAATCCTAAAAATAGTGTAGACCAATGTATGGATAAGAAAGTTAACAAGAAAGCTCAAGTATCAAGTCCCATCAAATCTTTTACTATTTTCTGGGTTTGTTCGGCCGCATTACATTTCAAAAAATTAATGGGATTCTCTGATGAAAATTTTTTGAATCAAAGATGAATACTACGGGTGCTTTTTAAACCGTTAATCTACACGAATTTGAATGTTACTCGTAGTCTACCAAAGCTGATTCTCTTGTTCCTCCCCCTCCCCCAGGAAGAATTAAAAAAATATTTTTAATAATTTATTAGCTTACAGCGTTTAGTGAATCTCTCTTTTGAACATAAAAATAAGGTAATTCTTCAAATATTGGCAATTCCTTTATTTTACCCATTTGCTTATTTGATTCTAAAATGTAATTTTATTATATTTTCTACATTTATTTATTTACACACCTATCAGTTGAAGCTGCGTTTCTTTTATTTGATATTGATGGATAAATGTTGATTCAACAAAATTTTTTGAAAGCAATGAAAATAAAATCCTTTTTTGTTGTTTTTGTTTCATTTGATCCCACCGACTTTTTGTTATTATTAAAGCAAGCCTTTAATATTAAATCAAAATTTTTTGAAAAAACTATCCCTTTACCTCGATTAATTACTCCCAACAAATGATTGAAACAATAATTACCCCCTTACTAATAGTTGTAATTAACCTTTATAAAATGATCTCTATTGTTTACACCTTCCAGAGAGGTTGAAACAAAAATACCTATGGTAATTACTGACTATATACGGTAGTTCTATTTATATAGTACTTTTAGCTCCGAGGTAGGGATGGGATCTCAGGGATGGGATCTCCGAAGATTTCCGGCTTCAGCCGATTTCATTCTTTTTGCTCATACGTTTACTTCCGTCTTCCGATAAAATATGGCATGGCCCAACCCAAATCCATACGTATAGAAAATCAAAGTCCGACTTTTTAGAAAATTATTAGATACCTTTCCTTGTGTAATTTGCTTTTGACTACATCAATTTCAATATCATAATCAATTTTTATTTCATTTTTGAAATTTATCAAATTCCAGTTATCCGTCACTAATACCAATTCTTTCAATAACAAATGCAATTTATTTATTAAAACTTCAAATTTTTCAAAATCATCGATGATATTATCATCATTCCCCAATAATATAATAAAATATTCTTCTAATGAATACCGTATTTATTCTAATAGTACTACGTCTCTATTTGAACCACGGTCTCTAATATAACCACATCAAATGGAGGAGTTGAAAAATACAACCACAGTCTCTAATATAACCACATATCTCTCATACTCTTAAATAAGTACTATAATTCTCGTTAACCTTAGCAAATCCAGGAAAGCACATGGAATATTCAGTAGGAGAATTTATGAGAGCTAAAGTGTCGGGGGATTATGAGGAAAATGGAATAATGTGGATTATGAGGAAATATAGAAAGATTTGGGAGGACTAAGAAGATGAGGAGAATTTGGTCAATACGAGGATTTGGGGGATTGAGAATGATTAAGATGAATTAAAAGGTTGTGAATTTTTCCATAATTAATAGGAATCCAATTCTCTTGCTATACCAGTGTATCAACTCTAATTGTTCTAAATCCATCGATATCCTTTCAAATCCTTCTATATCCCTTATAATGCCTCCATTCCAAAACTTTAATATAACAATGAGGTAGGAGTTCATGGTAAATTTCCTAGGTTCTCTTACTAGGAAATCGAGTTGAGGGTTAGATCTTATTATAGAAAATCGACATTTTTGTTAAATCTGGCGCCGCACTCGAAAATCTAGAGAATTTTGAAGTCGAGAAACCACCAAATTGATTAAAAATTATAATTATTTTTGGAGAATATGACAAGAAATTCTCAATATTTTTCCTATTTTTCAAAAAAAAAAGATTGAAAAATAAAGCCACAGTCTCTATTTGAACCACAGTCTCTAATATAACCACAAAAATCGAAGGGTTGAAAAATAGAACCACTGTAGTACTATTAGAATAAATACGGTATTTATTTTGACATTCTTGAATATTTTGTTTATAAATTTGTGTTAAAATACAGGGTGTTTCACCAGAAAAGCCCTTTTTGAAAAATTAATAACTTTTTTCAATATTGACATATTTTAATGATATTTTGTATTTTATAGCTATAATTTATAAGGTTTTTTTTTGACATAAAAATTATGTCTAAATTCGAACCCTAACCCGAGATAATTTCGTACTCTACCGCTCTGTTTTTCCCTTTTTCCCCACATGCGTTCTTACTCCCTTTTGTTTGCTACGAGCGGCGAAAGACAATAGAGTAAACACTAGGCGATAGACACTACATTTTCAATACAGTATCTACTCTTCGCCATACACAGGAAAATAAATGAAGTAAGATAGCACACAAAGAAAATAGAAAGAAAAGAGAACGGTAGAGTACGAAATTGAAATAATGGGTTAGGGTTCGAATTTCGACATAATTTTTATGCCAAAAAAAACCTTATAAATTATAGGTATAAAATACCAAATATCGTAAAAATCTATCCACGCAGTAAAAAGATATTAATTTTTCAAAAAGGGCTTTTCTGTTGAAACACCCTGTATATTTAAATAATTTATTTGTGGAGATGATTATTAGGTTATGAAAACTAATTCTACTTTTTCCATGAAATGCGAGTTGAAAAGAGTGCTTAATCATGCAGTATTTTAGAATTGGGATTTTAAATTTGGAATAAATTTGGGATTTACAATAAGCCAAAAATGCTTATTCCCACCGAAAATCCTTTCTCCTTACCTTTTAAACTCCCGAATAAAATTCTAGTTGAATTTTTATTTTCTTCACAATTTATTACTTTTTCAATATTATTTTGTTTGAATCTCTTGATATAATCAAAACGTTTTTTAATTTCATCAATAATCACTCCAATTTCCAATGCTGGAATTATTTTCTTTGGATCTCCTTTACCTCCAATAAATTTTTCATAAGCTTCAAATAGTAATTTTTCCTCTAAAAACATTTTTGGGTGAAAAGGAGTGAATTTTGAAAATGATTTGAAGTCTTTGTGATTTTCTTTTGAAATAACTTCATTAACTGGGACAAGTTCATTATCTTCTCTTTCCCCCTTTTTCAAAATATTTTCTTCCTTTTTATCAATCATATTAGCTTTTTGTTCTTCGTCTTCATGATTTTCATTAGCGGATATCTCCACTTCATTATCATTTGTTTGGGTTATCTCAATTTTTCCTTTATCCAGATTTTTAGATAATAAATTTTGATTATTCTCTATCATTAAATGTTTGTTAGCTTCATTTAATTCTCTTTTATCTTCCAAATCTTCATTCTTTTCTTCCAAATATTCAATTTTTCCTTCCTCTAATATTTCATTCTTCTCATCTCCCAAATTTTCATTGCTTTCTTCTTTCATATCTTGAATCATTTCTCTCATCAAATCTTGATTTTTTTCTACTTTCAATTTAGAATTTTCATTTTTTCTTCATCCAATTCTTCAGTTCTTTCCTTTTCCAAATTATTTTTTATTTCCATTTCTTTATTATTTAAATAATATTTTAAATTCATTTTGCTGCTATTATTCATAGCTAATAATGATTTAATATCGTCTTCCTCTTTTATTTTTAATTTCCTCAAATTTTCTTCTTCTCGAATTTTCTTCCTCTCTTCCTTTATCATTTTCTTTTCATCCTTTTTATTTATTTTCCAGTCCTTTTCTTCTTCAATATCATCATTGTTATAATTATTCTCGTCCAATTCATTGCTATTCTTTTCAACTAATTTTCCGTCCAAATCCAAATCATCATCATTTATCTCTTCAACGATTTCTTGATTTTGTTTATCTTCCTCAATATTATTTGGCTTTATTGTCTTAGCTTTCTTATTTTGCTTTTTTCGTTGTTTCTTGGAAAGGCCATTATTTTTACTAACATTAGCTTTATTATTTGTTTTATCATTAGTATTTCCTGTAGCATTTATTTCTTTCATGATATCTTCTACTTCAATCATTACTTCTGAAAAATTCAATAAAATTTTTTGAATATAGTTGAAATAAAACTTTTGTACATCCGATATATTATTCAGAAAGTTATTTTTCTGAAGCATGCAGATCCTATGTCACAGACTCGAGGATTTTTATCATATATTCGTGAACTTATGTAAGTTAATTCATCTAGCATCATTAAAAATTGCTTAGGTACGGATTAAACGAACACAGGGAAAAAGATAAAGCAATAGTCGACGCCCCGGTAGTGCTTAGTGGTACAGCATCTGCACAGGTTTAAGCGATACTGGCGAGTATCAGCGTTTTTGCGGGTTCGAATCCTGTCCTGTGTCAAACTTTAGTTACTCTTACTATTATTTAGTTTACTCTTATCTCAGATTATCAATAAAATTTCGCCCAATCCTTATCTAAATAAGAATTTAAATTTTGAATTTTCACCTTTCGTGCTCTCATTTTTTATCTCTTTAGATATATTTAAATTTCCACCTTCGTCATTCTTATATAGTTCAGATACAATGATGTAAACATTAAATCTTTCTAATGAAGGTTTTCCAAAAACATCAATAAATGTTTTTAATAAATTATTCTCTCGAGTTTGAAAATCTTAAGAAATAATTAAAAAACTAAAAAATATTCCGAATTTATTCTTTTATTTCAAACAGCATTCTTTTATTTTAAAGCACGATCTCTTCGTTTTCTTAGTTGAATTCCAAAAAGTTGGGAATCTTGGCTTTGGGAGTGTGCGACGGAATAATTAATACGATTTTACTACCGGATTTTATCTAAATTAGAGGTTCCAGGCCAGACATGCACGAAACGTTTCGTTTCGTTTCGTTGTTTCGTTAGTTTCGTTATGTTTTTTCCTGTTTCGTCTCGTTTCGTGACGAAACACTTTTTAGTTTGTTTCGTTTCGTTTTGTTAACGAAACACCTCTGTTTCGTTAACGAAACATTACCCATTTTTTAAACCAAAATATTACCCAAGAACTGAAAAATTTTCCCCTTTGGTGATCAAAATTCAAAAAATTTTTGCCTGCGGCGCTGAAATCTGGATTTTAAGCGCCTATGGCGCATAATTTACTATATTTTTTTGAATTTCTCGTTTGATCTTGTTTTTTTAATATGCAAAGCCCAAATTCTATGCTAGATTAGGCATAGAATCGATCTAACAATTAATGCCAATCAGGGCAGGCGCAAGAGTTTCAATAAAGTTTAGTTTCAATAAACGAAAACGCAACTGATGGCAATGATCATAAATATGGTTGTCTTTTTTCGGGCATGTTTCTATCGAGTCGGGCCAGACGAGTCTTTTCGGGCCAAATATCTTAGGCCCGACTCGATCTTTTGGTCCGAGTCGGTCCATTTTGGCAACCCTAATCATGAGCGTTGTTATTAACAAAAAAATCTGAGTTGAGAAATATCATTGGATTTGGCGGGAGCAATGGTGGTATAGGAATTTGGGAGAGAATAAACGTGGTTGGCGGATTTGGCGGATTTGGAAGGTTTAAAAAATTTTAAAAAATGTCGGGAATCAGGAACGGGTTTATGAGATAGTAATTTCCTACAAAATTAATTCCCGATTTTAGGGAATCAGGAAACGGGTCGGCAGGTCCCTGATATACACATATTCTCAACACAATTCGATTAAAGTCGATTTTGTGGAATTAAGGCTGATATAGTGGATTATGTTAGCCTATGACCACAATTTAAGGTCCCTCTAAGCTATTAGATCAATTATAGGCCATAACTGGCCTATTAACGTGTCTAAAATCGAATAATTAAGAAAATAAAACCGTTTTTATTAAATTTTTTGAAAATTAAAATGTTTCGTTTTGTTTCGTTTCGTTTCGCTAAATTTTTACTGTTTCGTCTCGTTTCGTTAACGAAACGATTTTTAAAAAATTTTGTTTCGTTTCGTTTCGTCTGAAAAAATTTTGGAGTTTCGTGCATGTCTGTTCCAGGCTACCGTTTGAAAAACCCCGATTCGGCACGCGGTTTGAACTCTACTTGTTATTAAATTATTCGTTAACTTGTGCCTGTTTATATAAATTAAACTAAGGCGAGTAGTTCATCAGGGAAATAGGTCTTCAGGGTGTAGGTCTTCAATGGTGGATAAAGATTACCATTCTAATACCATTATTATTATATTAGAATAAATACAATTGTTAAAAAATACCTTTAATAAATCTTGTACGGAAATTAACATCTAATTTACCGCTCATAAACAATTTTATAAAACAATTATATTTATCTTCTTTCAATGCATTTATAAATTCGACATAGTTATCTAAATTGAATATTTTCGATGCGAGATCATCCACAATTTCTTTCCACTCATACTAAAAATAATAATTGAATAATTCTATCATAATTAGAGAACAGAATGAGAGTGCCGTACGAAAGCGTACGAGATATCTAGAAAAATATCTGTCTCGTTAACAGAGATTTTTGTTCGAGCCTGATCTTGCTAGTCTCATAATACACAGCTCATAAAAGCGTCAACCTATTTTTCTTGACTTAATATGATAACACCTCGTTTCGATTAAAAAAATAAATATCGCTAAAATTAAGTTTAAAAAAATTTAGTTTTTCATGTCAATTTTTTGAGAACTTCAATCTCCTTTTTAATCATTCAAATAATCATAGTGCCACTTAATATTATTTGTTCTTTGTTAACTTTTAGACAATGTTAGGTCCCATAGCTTTTTCTTAGATTGTGACATGGGGCTCTGAAATGTAGATACCTGTAATTTCATCATATATGAATTTTTATCTAAAGATTTATAGTTCTTTGATCGTTTTTTCAATTCCATTGTCTGAATCATTCGCAGAAAAAAGACTGGAAAATTAGAATGAACTCTCGTTAATGCAGCTAAACTTTTGTTCTTATCAAGTGAATAACAGTAAGGTATATCTAATTGATCTTGGGCCAGTTTCCAAATTTCTATAGTCCAAAGTCTCATCTTTCTTGTAGTGCTATTTGCAGTCCATTCTTTATTTGAGTTTAAAGCGTCCACCATATAGTGTTGCCAGAGAATAATGTCTATGGCTAACTGATTCCGTTTGGATTCTTCCTCGTTGATTTCATAGAAAATTTTATAAAAGTGTTTCGCAGATTGCTTATAATCAGCATACACTAAAAATACTTGTAAATGAGATATAACTACCATATATTCTTAAAACTTACTCATACTCTTAATTACTTACCCCCATCAACAAAAGTTGAAACAAAAGTTGAAACGATTACTAGAGATGTTCAAGACCGAAATTTTCCAGAACTAAAGAAACAAGACCGAAAACCCAACAAGAAAAGTCTGAGTAAATACTCAAGAGTAACTCTCAAAACCAAGATTGTGACATTGCTAATAAATACCTTCCCCAAATGTCCTACTCTATTTCAAAGTTCAAAACTCGAATAATTGCCCTAACACATATAATTATCACATTTGTTTAATTATCCCCATCAACAAAAACCCGAATTATTACCTAATTATCCTTAGCAATTAATTAACATCCTCAAGATAGATGTATAAAAAATAATTATTCAGGGTAATTATTCAAGGATATACGGTATATCTCTTTTATTTAAGTCCAATTTTTATTTATCCTTTTTTTAATCTCCACAAGACAGAATATGAGATTTTTATTTTTAGGATTTATTATTTCAATTAAAATTATAAATTTATTTTTAAATTCTCTAACAAATTCAAAAATATTTTACTTACCTCCCCTACATTCCTCCTTGAGATGATAATTATCAACACATGGTTCTTCACAAATGTCTGACGCTTGTGTTAGAAGTAGTAAAATTAATGTTAAAAATATAGATATTGATCGACAAAGATTCATCAAGAAAATTTTTATAAAAATAAAAATAATCTAATCTGATTTTTAATAAAGTAGTGAGGGATTATGATTTTAAAAGTGTTTAAAGTTTTTGTCAAGACCACACCGCGATATCCCGACTTAATGTTACTCTTTTTCCCATCATATTAAGCCCAACTTAGTTGTTTTAAATGGTGTCTAGCGGATGTTGTCTGGCCGAAGTTTGACTTACAAACGCGGTCCGACGACTCTAATCGTCGGAAGTGTCTCGCTTTAAGTATTTTTTTAAGAGAGGTATTATTAAAGGTTAATTAATAATACTTCTAATATTATTAAAGAATTATTTAAAGGTTAAACTTTTATTATTAAAAGTTAATTATAATATTAGACGTTAAGCATTTAAAAAATATAAATCTGGCATGTCTAGATTTTTATTAATAGCCAAAGCAATTAGGCGGCATCTCTTTAATATGTAAAAGTGTAAGATTGAATACAAAAACATACAAAAAGTGCAACCATACATAGACATATTCACGTGAATATCATTAAACATGTTGACTTAGTCTTTTTAGTCACAGTAGTAATCAAAATGTCAAACCGGAAACCAGCCATAGTCTACTCTGAACAAGCATTTATATAAAAGTATTGGTAATTTTTAGCTAAGATTTTAGCTAAAAATTAAAAAAATATAAATCTGGCATAAATCTGGAAAAAAATATTTTATAATTAAAAGTTAATTATAATATTAGACGTTAAGAAAAAAACTTTTATTATTAAAAGTTAATTATAATATTAGACGTTAAGCATTTAAAAAATATAAATCTGGCACCTAGGGAATCTCATAGCTGATCGGTTTGGCAAATTTTGAAAATCCGTTTTTATACATATTACTTTTATCTAAAGAATATTTTCGTTTTTTAATATTTAAGAAATTATTTAATCTAGGTATGTATCAATTAACGAAGATGGCGTCTTCTAAGTGCTGCATGAACAAGTTTATTATATGCAGATAAACGACGACTTGAAGTTGATTGTTCTCCTAGACTTTCTGAATTGCTTTCAGATGCTGCTAAATATCTCAAATTATCTTTATAAGAATTCCGTATTATTTTTACCTTTTACTGTTCCTCCTCCATAACCACTACCTCCCTCAGATTTTGTTTCATAGCCTCCAACTTCTG